ATCAAACCGATTTAATTCAAAGCCAAATAACAGAAAAACACACAAAAGGATTCATAACTTGATTTGTCTTAGGTTATATTATAAATATAAATTTAGCATAATGTTCGTTAATCCTAAAAATACTGAAATCCGATAAAGATACTGCTAATCTAAATCCCTCCCGGTACTTTTAGTGCCAGATATGAAGACTATCAAGAGTTGTCTGAATTTTGTATGTTAGCATTACCTTTGCTGATCTGATATTCAGGTGAGCTGTGTGGACTTGGACGAGTGTGCCACAAGACAGCATGTGTGCCAACATCAATGTGTTAACACTCAGGGCAGTTACCAGTGTGCTTGTCCTTCAGGGTACAACCAGGTCGGCGACCATTGTCTGGGTAAGTCACCTACCTTATTGTTATTTGTTTTATTATCTTAATGCAATTGGCTTTGTTTTTACATTTTTGAAGGGAACCGCCCACTATCTAACTTACTTGTTAGATCTTCTGTTAGATTAGATAGCATTATCAATTGATAGCCCAATGACAAATAGCATTTGGATCCAGATTCTACCTTACAAGGAATTGAACCAGCAACCTTTAGATTTGAAGGCAAGCATTATGAACACTCAGCTAGCCAGACAAAATTAATTGATTTCTCCATCTGTTTTCCCCAAAGTTTACTTTCATGGTTTGATAATTTCAAATAAATATGGAGCTTTTAAACATATTTACAAGCAAAATGACACAATTTTATATGCAACAATACAGCAAACATATACAGACAGTAAATACATATAAAATATTATATATAATGGCTATACATTTTGGCCAATTAATTACACTGGTCATCATCAGGACTAACATACGATTGGGCAGCACTTTGTTGCAGATATTATTAAATGAATAATAATTCTGAACAAGCCAAACACAGTTATGGCATTTGATTACTCTTTTATTTTCTACAGACATAGATGAGTGTGAGACAGACGCCATGTGTCCTCTGCCTGGCAAGTGTGTCAACACTCTAGGCAGCTTCCGATGTTTGTGTCCCCGGGGCTTCAAGCTGGACAAGACAGGATCTTACTGCCAAGACGCAGACGAGTGCACTGATGATTCCAAGTGTGAACATGGCTGTCAGGTAAGGATGAGTGGAACGGGGGATGCCCCTGTGGCCTTTCTTTGTCCTTATTAAAACTGCCTTTGAGCACTATTTAACCCTTTTGAACTACAAAGATTAGTAATTTAACTGTGCAAATTTTTACCAACTTTAAGTCTTTGTATTGTTGTATGCACAGACACTTACTAATGTAGATTAGTTATGGTTTGCAAGGTGCTTTTAATCCATTTCAATCTATTTTATCAAAATTGCATTCCAACGTCCAGCACTACCACTAGTTTACTTAATGAATGAATAGATGAATGAATGAATAACTGAATAACTGAATCTACACCTTAATATGCGTGTTACCAAGGGTTGTAGAAAAGAAAAGTCAACTATAGCTAGTTTTAAAGCTGATGTCTTCAAGTTTTTTTGGTACCCTTCAACAGTAATCAGCATTAATCAGCTATTGTTGTTGCCACGTTTTAATTTTCAAAACATAAAGTTGCAATTTGGAGGCGCAGTTGAAAGCACTGTGTATTGAATGGTTTATAGAGACAAAATTTGTCGTGTGATTTTTTCTGGGGGTTTGTGAACAATCGAGTGTATCTATCGAGTGTATCTAGCAAGTGTATTGAGATCTACCAATCTCAAAAATTAATGCTGATTAAGAAGTTATTCATTGAATGTGTAACTGTTTTATACAGTAGAACCTCTTATTCTGCTTCCTCACATCTTATGAAGCAAAGGAAGAGCAAGTATTCAATAAATCATATTTGTTGTTTGTTACAGAACTTCATGGGCACCTACAGATGCGGTTGTCCGGATGGTTTCCTGCAACATGTGTACTACAACCAGTGTGTGGATGACAACGAGTGCTCACAGAATCCGTGTGGGGATCAGAAGTGCTTCAACACTATTGGCTCGTACCGGTGTGGCTGCCCAGACGGCTTCCAGTTTGACCAGGCAATGCTTGTCTGCATCCAGGTAATTTGTATTTTGGTAAATATGTAAGCTTTGGTTTGGAACTTGAGTGGACTACCGTACATACTATTCTTTTTATTTAATACTTAATACAGTCCAACCTCAGTATAACGAATCTAAAGGGACCGAACTGAATATTCGTTATATCAAGGATTTTGTTAAAACGAGATTCGTTATATAGAGGTAAGGTTTGCAGGAATTTCGCTAAGTCGAGGTTCAGAACCAGCGTCGGTCAATATAGGTCGGGATTTGACCTCATTAAAATACAATTAAAGTAGCATAGGCTACGCTACAGTACTTTACAGTACAGTGTTTACATTGTACAGTAGAACCTAAATTATTCGGCAAAATAAAGGGGAGGGATCTTGAATATTGCGCAATCATGACAATGGCATTGACCTTGGTACAGGTTAAAAACTGTAAGTTTAAAATCACAGCTTGTTCTAACCCTCCTAAAACCTAGCCAAACACTGTATTGCGTAGTCAAAAACCATGTAAAGAATAAAACAAAACAGTAGAAAGTTTTGTAAGCTACTGCTCGTGATAGGCCGGTAGGATACTTACAGTACAGTACTGATTTATCACAACAGAGGAATGTCAATAATAATCATTAACTATAGCATTGGTGTTGCTAGTTTAAACAAATCGTATTGAAAACAATAAAGTATTAGATAAGCCATTATAAAAGTGTATAATCATAGCCAACTTAAGGATAATAAAAACACTCGTAAAAGGAATGTTAAGATAACGATGTTGCTATTCTTTCTCTTTGGTTTTGTTTTTATATTCTTTCTTAGTTTTCTCTTTATCCAAAAATTGTACAATTCACCATAGCTTTCCCATATCGCCCAATCACAGCTTACTAAACATTACGTCGTCATCAGTCATCAGTGAATGAAATCAGTTCAGTTCTCAGTTGCAACACAGCGTGCGCAGCGACAGCAGACAAAGATGTAAAACGGAGCAGACGAATGTTAGCGCAAGGGATGACGTGACCTTTCCATTTCATTTGATAAAGAAACAGATTTCCCAAAACAATAATTGGGTGGGGGATTTGTTATATCGAGGGAAAGACGGAGACAATTCGTTATGCAGAGGTTAAATTTGCAATGTAGAGGTTCTGACAATGATAAATTCGTTATATTGAGGTGTCTTATTTTAGCCGAAATCACGAAAAATTTGTTAAATCAAGGTCGTTGTTATGGTTTGTTCGTTATGTAGAGGTAAAATATACATTGTGTCTTATGGAGAGTTCTAGGGGATTAAAAAAAATCGTTATATCAAGGAATTCGTTATATCGAGGTTCGTTATATCAAGGTTAGACTGTACTTCTAAATGAAATGGCGACCATACAAAGTAGGAATTTTAAGCCAATTATGAATGGAGATGAGTGTAGGGTGAGTGTAGGGTGAGTGGCGGGATCTTTAGTCTTGTTAGTGACTAAGGCCAACATTCCTTAGACACAGGTGTTAATTAATAGCCCAAACAGCTAATGGCAACTAAGCGACCTACAGTTTATAGTGGAATCCGAACCACATTTTTGCCTTTGTTATATACAAATTGGTCTAATTATCAGGATAGTACTGCGGATAGTCGTAGTACTCACCTGTGCGGACGTTAATCCACACCAGGGAGTATCGCATCCACTGTGCATGCCTATAAATATCCACAATTCGTCTATTGTGTCAGATTACCAAGGTTAGATTTTACAGTGTCGAAACTCCAGGGTCTGCATTTTATAGCAAAATATATTGAAAGGTGAGCGTTGGATAACAAAAATTACAACTTTGTTATTAAATTTGTCATGAATTTTTTTAATGGAACTAGACGCCCTGTGATGAACAGATAGATTCTTTAAAGTTCTCCAAATTTCTATAACATTTACATTTCACATTACTTATAAAAACAACTGATCAAAAAAATATAGTTTTAGGTAGATTTTAAGAATGATGAAATAATTTAATAGTTTTGTTCTATTTTATTTTGTTTCTACGCCAGGGGAGTTTTCCTATTTTTGTCTAAGGTAATGGTCCAAACCCTGGTTTTGATACTATCTGTACTGTCCGTCAACCAGTTGTTACTGAAGTAAGTCTATATAAGGGAAACACATACATTCAATAGAGCTTTTCCTTCTATCAGTAAACATAAAACATAAAATTTAATTTTCTATGTTTCTTTTCCTAACCTGAAATTTGCAGATAGTCACCCAAAGCTATAGTTTTGAACATTGCATGTAGTATTTGATAAAGGGTCAAATAGTCAAGGCAGAAAAATAAAACACATCATTGGCATTTGCATGTGAGTGTTCTGAATAGATAAGGTTCTATTCTATACTTAACTTTCCAGGAGGAAATAAATTTGAAATTACCGTACCCCTTCCTATGGATTCTTTTTGAAAATTCGTGTTAAATTGATACTGTGAGCCTTATTACATATTTAGTTGCAAAAAAAATGTTCGTGTGTACTTGATATGATCAGCTTTATTTGATATACATACAAGCTGCTATACCCGTGCTTTGCAACGGGAAGAAAATGTGCCCTAGAGAGCTATTAAAGCAATCCTGATGTGTGTTTTAAAATACGGCAACTTTATGATTTAGTTTGAAAATATAAACTCTGATTCAAAAGTGTAAACCTGCTTACTTTCAAACCCCTACTTTTTTATGTTAATAGATCCAAAAGAATATGACAACATACCTTAGTGTAGCAATAACATAAATTATTTCATATTGATGCTTCACAAATGACGTGTTTTACCATAATTCTTCAACTTTAGTCAAGCCTCTTTACATTTAGCTTACTATATAAATTACAAAATGAAACTTTGCGCAATCCTATACAAAACGTATACAAACTTTCTTTAAAACCAAACATAACCCTCCTAAATCTACATAAAGCTTCACAAACATATTTTTAGAGTAAATAAACAAACACCATTCATTGTACTGACCAGCTGTTTCATTAACTAAATTAAATTAAATCATGTAAACTTAGGAAGCATGGCAGGCGTAGCCTTTGGAAATCAGCCTGTGGGGCAGAGCCCTTAGGAAATTCGTCCATATCAATACTTTTTGGCAAGTCTACACACTCTAAGCTTCATTTGTATGTGTCATATGCCTATATTTTTATTTGGTAAATGGCCTTAACCGTTTACATAAAATTTGATTGTATCACTTTAATAATATAATAGATTTTTAATTGTGAGTCATCATTGAATAAAATAATAACACAATATAATTGTTAGTAAAACACATGATTTTAAAATATGTGACAAATTTTAAGGTTGATTAATTAATGATATCATTATCTACAACTTATTTACATTTACAACAAATATTTTTTTTTGTTTTATGTTGTCAAGATGATGTTTATAAAAAAAATGTAGTCTTTTTAATACTAATTTCCTCTCAACAACATATCTGTGCAAAGAGCTAGAACATTAACCTTTAGAGCAACTTTTAATGTAAGGTCTGGTAAATTTGTTGGATGATTTTTGGTACTTTGGCTTTGTAATATTTTCCATTGTATAATCTCAGTAAATTTGGGTCCATATCACCACTGTTAGTCATGTTTGCAAACTCTTTCATGTCGAATTCAGCCATGTCAAGAGCATCCTTTTCTTCAGCGAATGTCATGGGCAAAGTTTGACATGCAATTACAAGAGCAAAGTCAACCGAATTCTTTAAATCTTGCCATAACTCTTCAGAAGTGTACCTCTCTTCACATCCTAGTAGTTTTAGACATTCGTTGAGTTCTTGTAGGTAAATGTCGTACAACTCTTGTAGTCTGTTTTCCCGCACTTCTTCGTCTGCACTGGTCCAGATGAAGTACAGAATGTCGATGGCCGGGCTCGTGTATCGTAATACTTGAAAGTCAATGAACTTTACTTCCTCCACTTCTCCTGACTCTGAGTGTTTGAACATCATATTGTTGTTCCACAAATCTCCATGGTTCATAACATTCAAACCTTCTTTTTTGGGTTTAACAATTTCTATCAAGGAATTGTACAGTGTTTCTTGCTTGCCAAGCAAAAACTGTAAGGCAGGTTCACCATTCTCTGTATTTTTCAAGCTTTCTTTGATAATTTCTATCGCAAACACCAAAAGTGACTCCATCAATTGTTGCATGGGATTACCTTCCCTAAATATGGGCTCTATTCCGAGTGTTTCGATTTCTTCAGGATTTTCACTGTGAAGAGCGACTGAAACGGCATGGAACTTCGCTAAATTTTTCAACACTACCTCACAATGAGTGTAATCCAATTGTTTAAATTTATCACACATGATGTGCCCTGTTTCTTTCAGATCCTGAAATACCAACACACTTTTTTGTGCACTGAAATATGTTTTAGGGCCAAAGTCGACTTTTATCTTTTCTTTCATTTTTGGCAAAATAATGTTGTATAGTACAGGTTCTTTCTTGAACCATTCACCTAGTCCAAGTTCTGCTCCCATGTCTTGCATCTGAGTATGAGGTGCCTTAACAATAAGAGTTGTGGATTTATCTTCTGATCCATTTGCTGTGTATTTCACGACCACCCTGAAGATTTGGCTTGTGTAGTTGTTACCGGCCGCTACCGCTAGTTCTGCAGTAAAATCATTAACTGTCACTTTGGGCTCGTTATCTTCTCCTCCTTGAAGAGCAGCTTGTAGGAATGTCTTGTCCAACCACTCTGGCAGCTTTTGTGTCATTCTGGCTGAAAAGGATAAAACTTAAGTGGTGCATTTGTTAAATCAGGCTACATGAAGGTGAATTAAAGAATTCTCAAAACATGTAGGTAAAGTATTAAACCAGAACTGTTATAGGCCTAAATCTTTGATAATTCCATAACAATTGCTGTATCAACCTAGGCTCTGCTCCTAAGTTTTCAAAGTTAAGCTGTGAAATTATCTTATATGGTCGATGTTCATGGAAACCGAGGTATGATTAAAAGTTGTTTTTTTTTTAATTATTTTAGTAATTTTATGGATACAATTTTGTTTGACCTAAAGGTACAGACTTTTTTACAAGGAGAAACCTTGTAGCCTATACTTTTACGAATTTAAGATAGCTAATTTCTAATCTTAATTTTATATTATTCCAATGAATTATGAGGATTTTAACAGTAGTAGCTGCTACTTATCGTTTCTTTTATAATTGACTTCATTACTGTCCTTGAAAAACTAGGGTAAATCACTCTTGTTTAGAAGCAAAGTTACCAGTTTAGCTTTTAATTTTAATTCAAAATCAAATATATAAACAGAGTATACCATAAATTTTGATTTGACTAAAACACAAGGGTAGTGTTCATAGGTCATACAAATATAATATCCACATAATGTGATAAATAATCTTTGCTCAGACCAAGTTGATTGTATGTAAAAAAAAAATTGGAAAGTTAAACATCCTTTGAATTCCTTTACAATAACTTTTTTAAAGTGTGTGGCCAAATTAGCTAGCGTAAAAAGAGTAGATTATCACTTTCTAAAGATAGGAATGTAGGCTACTACTTCAATTTTGAATTGGCTATCAACAGCTACCGTACACTACTGTTAAACATGCTCTGCACTGTTTATAACTATTAGTACCTGGGGACCGAGCTTTGCTCGGGAAACTAAACATTAAAGAATAAATAATAATAAATTTAAGCTTTAATTTAAAATACCTTATGTTACACGCTTTCATAGAACAAATTGTCCTAATAACAACACCATTATGGTGTATATGGCATAATTAATGAAAATATTGATTGACATCAAATCAAGAGTTAAGTATTTATTTTATCTATACAAAAGACACTTTAGGGTTGGATAATGAGTAGTTTTAACTTGTTTTGCAGCCCTTGATTGGGGTTTCCATTGACAAATATTTCCTGTATATTTAGTTTTTGTTTTGGCTTGGTTTAGTTGTATTACTTAGGCCTATTCACACAAAAATGTGGATAGCCTAGCCTAGTTTAGGAGAAAAACCCTGGACACTTAAAGTCATCACACTCTTGTGTATGCCTACAGATAATATAGGCTATAATGCTTAAGGATAGATAGCTTCCGGAGCAAATTCAAGTTTTGACGTTTGTCGTTTTGTAACATTTGTCGACATACGACACGCTGCAACACAAACATTTTAAAACTTTTTAGGCAGTTTAGGAGAAAAATCCCTATACACTTTTCAAAATCATCACAGTCTTGGGTACAGTTAACATAGGCTACAATGCTTAAAATACAATAGATAGCCTCCACTCTCCAGAGAAATTTCCAGCTGGTGACATTCGTTGGTTTGCAACATTTTATGACATGCGACGCATGCTTTAACTTGGGATATGTTATATCATATTAATTTGCCAAACTTAGCTCAGTGATACAGAACTTAGTTATTCCATAAATATAAACGTTTTTGTTAGGGCCGATTCCCAGATCGAGTTGACAATTATTCAAACTTTACTCGTATTATATATAGGATAGGATAAACATTCTGTTAATGTTGTTTTACAAAAAAATATAACCACACAATCCTACAGATTTGAGAGTTGTCAAGTTAGGAATAGGTAAATGAAGATCTTCAATTTAATTTTTACTACAGTTACCTGACAAAGTGGGCTTCTTTGCACTGATTTTTAGCACGCAAACTAGCTAATTACTGCATTTACTCACTTTTGCCGCACTCTTTTTCTTTTCCGCACTCCTGTGTTTTATTTTAATCAAACAACACAAAACAGTGTTCTTTTATTGGATTTAACCTAACCTAAAAAAGTTTTGTATAGTGTTTGAAAGACTACTTATTTATATGGTTTATAGTAACTGTAGGAAAAATATAATGTGTATCGCAAGTGCAAAGTCCCTATGCTGCACTCAAAAACTTTCCATGTGCAGCAAAGTGCCACTTTGCACACTAGTTGCACAAATAACTATTGCACGTCAGTTCTCCATCATCAGATTTGAGTTTGGCCATGCCAGTTAACACTGACTATAGATGTACTTGTCTGTCACTCAACTGCTAGTTGCTGGGGACCTTCAATCTAATCATAACTTTGTGACTGATAGCAGGCTTGTTTTTGTTTTCTTTCTTTATCAACTTCTAAGAACTCATAATAATGCTATCTTGTCTTAATCAGGTTTGAACACTTTGTGAATTGTTGTTATTATAAAGGTTTTATTTATGCTTTTGATGATATGTTGATAAGGGTGTAATGTATTAATATATGCAATATATATATATATATATTATATTATGTTTGTAATTACTTAGCCAACAACAATTTTCTTCTAAATGTAAAAAAATCATTCAAATATTTTATTGTTACATTTTTGTTAATTATATTCTTCTCCACACAACTTCTTAAATGTAAAACCCTATAACTAGTGATGTGGGCCGGGTAAATACCCAGTGGGTAGGTAAATGTAAATTGGGTATTTACCTGGGTATTTACCCCAGGCCCGGGTAAATACCCAAAAACTGGGCATTTATAATTTGTATTAAAGTTAGAGAAGATTGAGATGTTTTTTTGCAATTATTACCCTGTAAGGATATTAAAATGATAATAAAATGTGTTAAACAAAATTTCATATGGACACTACTAGCATTTTACTTCTCGGTATAATCACCATAAATACCCAGGTCTGAGCATAAAGCATAAATACCCTGGTCTCATGGTTGCACTGGTCCTGACTACTTATAATTTTTTTTTTTTTATTTCAATGATAGATAGATGAATTTATTTTATTGAAAGTGAAGAAAAATAATTTGTAAAGTAATCGTTATTATTTAGAAAAATAGGAAAATTTAACATAGTAGTGGCCTATGTGTAAACAACTTAAGAAAATAATTAAAATTCAATCTGTAGGATGGCAGGATTTAATAATATTTTCGTTCTAGATCTTTTGTTGGTATCAATGGTAGGCTATAAAAAAAAACTAATTTCATAAACTTGTGATACAAATTTTTGGGGACATCAGTTTAACCGGAAAACCCGTTATCCGGACTAGCCTCGGTCCCGAGGAGTCCAGATGAGAGGGAGTCTATTGTACTTTCAGTATTCTGCCATCCTGCCTATGTCAATCAGACTCTGGGTTTGTCTAGCCTTCCAAGCCATTTACACAATACAAATTTTAACTATCATAATTTAATAGCAGTAGAAGTAGGTTTAGGTTCACTATTTCTCTGATAGGTGTTGTCTTGATTTCAAAACAAAAAAGTGCTAAATCATTCAATAAAAGGTACTAGCAAAGCTTCAAGTTACTGTAAAAGGTGTTATAGACTATCCTAATTTATCATGTAATGATAACAATAACATATTTAGGGGTAATATGAATTAATTTCAATCGATTTCATAAATACCCAAAATACCCGGGTATTTCTGGATTATGGGTATTTACCCCGAGTTTTAAATACCCAGGTATTTTACATCACTACCTATAACACCCCGTTTTCATTACCCTGACTGCTGGCCTGCAAACTCAATCAAGTTCATCCAGCTCTACATATTCATGTCAAACTTTTATCAAAATTGGACAAAAATTACTCTGTATAAATACATACAGGACAAATTTGACCAATAATTCGTGTTTTTGGTCTCTAGGGACACAAAAAAAGTAAAACAATCCCAGGTCTAGGTCTTTCTGTGCAACCAACAGTAATCACATCTCCCTTGTAGGGAAATTCACTAAAACCTTAAACTTTACACAAACATTACTATTAGAATAGTTCACTGTCACCAACAGCACTTTTACAAAGGAAAGTTCAATTTGGAAAAAATAATATCTTTAGGTCCAATAATTGTGGTCAGGAAGTTTTTATTTTTGTGAATAGGCCTAGTGTAATATTTGGGTTGCCGGAATTTTATCCCCCTGGAATTTTACCCCCTGGGCAAAGTTGACGTCACTATGACGTAGTAACCTGAGCGTTTGAAAGTTTGTTCGCTGCCAGAATTTTACCCCCGCAGATTTGGAGGTCTAACAAAAATAGACAGAGTGTGATTAATTAGATTAGCAATAAAAACCGGAATTTTACCCCCTGTCCATATAACTAGCGTTTAGACAACTGAAGATGTACGGGCTGGATTTTTACCCCCTGATTTTTACCCCCTGGCCAGATATAGAAATTATTAAGAATGATTGATTTTCCTATTTCTGTTTTTATTTAATTGTTAACATTTTATTATTAAGTAGCCTATCTTTATTTATTTATTTTGTAATCTCTTCTAACTAAACAAAATTCGCTGTTTAATTTTGATATTAGGAATTTGCGTTTGATTTACGTCTTTATTTGATGTGTTCTGATTAAATTCACAACCATGAAAATATACATTTACTGTCCGCAAGAGTAAAGAAGTCCCTTGAGCCAGAGCGATACGCAGCTATGTTTGGAGGGTATCGCGCACTATTTGCAGGCGCTAAGCATGGGCGCCTCGCCTCGATGTCTGTCTGTAAACAACTGTTGTAAACATAATTACTCATATCTTTGTTTTGGTAAGTGGATTATCATCATGTGGTCACGTCATTCGATTCATTGCAGTCTCTTGTGTTCGCGTAGTGAGTTCGTTTTGTTTTGGACGGTCCTTGTAGCTATGGATTTAAGAAAACGTCATGCTACTATACATAGTGGAGAGAGGGATTTAATAATTAGACGGGTGATCAAGAGTTGTGACAACGAATGTAAAGACAAAAATTTATTAGTGCCGATAGAAACGGCAACAGAACGTGCCGCAAACTGTTGTAAAGTTCCAGAAAAAAACTATTAAACGAATTAGAAAAGCCAGCAAACAAACTCCCGATGAAAAACTCTGTACACCCGGGAAAAAACGCAAGAAGGCTGACCACCATAAATTACAAATAGATAGCTTTGATAGGCGTGTAATTGTAGATGTAATACGTGATTTTTACAAGAACAAAAAAATTGTCCCTACATTTAAAAAACTATTACCTGTTTTGAGAGAAAGAATTAATTTTAAATGGAGCGAATGGGCACTTCGGCGTCTCTTAAAAGATATGGGGTTCAAGTGGAAGAAATTTGGTCCTAAAAGAAAATGTTTGATTGAAAGGTCTGACATCGTTAATTGGAGGTATAAGTATTTGCGAGAGATAAGAAAGCTAAATGGACAAAAAGGAAAATTTTCTAACTAGACGAAACTTGGATGGACAATAATTTAACGTTCCAGAAATGTTTAAATCCATGTGTGTAGCCCCTGAGCGGGTCCGCGGAATTGGCTAACTCTGGAACTCGCTAACCCCATGTTAAACGCCCTATCTTCAAATTTGGTCGATGAGAGGAACTCGTTAACTTGTTCGGTTTCGGAATTGGCTAACTCCGGAACCCGCTAACCCGCTCTAGAGCCGGGTTAGCGAATTCCGTCCTCGCACGGAAGTCGCTAACTCGGTCCCTCGGCGGAACTCGCTAACTCCCAATCAGAAGCCTCTCGAGTCGTCCAATGGGAGCCAAGCACGAATATTTTTGGCCAGTGTTGCCGAAAGTGTAGTACCTATATCGTATTGGTACCATAATGTCGTATCCTACGATTGATTAGGAGTAAGAGCAACGTAGTCGATAAAATAAATATATTTAGAAGTGTGTTTAACATTATTCCTATGATTATTATTGTGGAAAATGCATTATAGTCTTACCATAGACTAACCAACATAAGTAAACTTTACATCCCATTGTAAACTTTGAAGCTCGTTTTTCGTGTCTAGTTCATGTCCGGTGACACTGATCGCTAGTGTCGACAAAATTGTGTTTTTATTATTTTATAGTTAACTTCATGATTTGTTCCTTACTGTTTGGTTATATAACTAGGGGACGTGTTATTAGTTGTGATTAGAACGTTTTATTTGGTTAAACGAGGTTTTAAATTACTGAAAACAAGAAACGATTGTAAACAAAACACGACCTCTAAAGACAGTGCACCGGACAGAACTAACAATAAAACTGTCTTCAGCTGATCAATAAGGATGAGATATGTACTAATATAAGGGAGTATGTTTTATATGTGGGTTTCTTACTTAAATAGTTTAGTAGCTTATTGGTATGCAAAAAGATAAAAATGCATATTTAATTTGGATCTATTACATGTTATGAAATATCTATTTTCGTAGTCCGCCATTTGTTTCTTTTATTCGAATAAATACCATTTTGTAAATTTCTGCAAATAAAAATATTGAGTTCGTATTTTATATACTGGGCTTGTAACCTTGAATCATAAATCATAATAAAATTTACACGTTAAACGTCATTAAAGAATTACATTGTAGTGGTAATGTATTTTTTAATAGAGCTATTGAATTTAAATAAATATTTATCAATACATTATAAAGTGGTAGGCCTAATGTATTCATGGATTGCATTAAAAGTTAGTCTATGCATAAATACAACTTGTAAATTTCTTTTATCGTAGGCTATTAGTGTAGACCCGGGGTCATCCTCTTAATTTTGTTGAATTAAAATTAATTTTACGTCTTTCAGTAGGCCTACTTTTTAAAAGTCTGGAGTTTTTCTCTAGGCTGATTCTAAATGGACCCAGGCATTCTTGTTTGTTACAATTCTATGAATTGGTGGCCATAGCTAAAATTACTTGACCTTATCCAAAAAGCTATTGTCTATTGTGAAGCTCAGTACTGGGCAACGGTGAACCGAGCAATGGCTTGGTATAGTTTATATCGATTGTGAAAGCAATATAAAGGAAACCCAACACTCATATAAGGAAAATCCGTCAATTCGTTTATTAAGAATCGTGAATAAAAATTATCGTGTCACGTTTTATTATATGAATATTATATCTTCTACTATTTTTTACTAGTGGTGCTTAGGTGTACAATCTAAAAACGGTTTTATAACATGTAACATAAATCTGTTTTCCGTGTTTAAAAACTTCCGTGTATTTTAGCTTAGTTTCGTAGAG